GTGTCGAGGAACATATTCAAAACATCAGAAAGCGTTTTAAAGAGCATCCATTGTCTTTAAATTCTGCACAGAAACATAGTGGAGATCCCAGTAAACTAGATACCCTGGAAATAGAAAAGGTTAACAGGAATTGGAGGGGTGAAGGCTTTGACAAAATATAGTCGCAACAAGAAATGAGGTGGATCTTCAAACTAAAATCTTTGTTCCCCAGAAGTTTATTTGGGGACCTTAGGGATGTGCATGGGCAAAAAATTTGGTTTGGTTCGGAAATTCGGGTAAGAAAAATAATTCAGCAATTCGGCACTTCGGCAATTTGGTTCAGTACGGCACTTCCGAAATTCGTGACTTCGGCAATTTGGAACTTCGGCATTTCAGGACTTTGGCAATTCAGGACTTCGGCTATTCGGGACTTCAGAATTTGGAACATCTGTAGGGCTCCATACTCCTAACCCTACCCCTAACCCTACCCCCACCCCTAACCCTACTCCTACCCCAACCTTAACCATAACCCTACGCTACCCCTAACCCTTTGGAATGCACTTTGGAAACTCAGCAATTTGTCAATTCGGCACTTTGGCACTTCGGACATTCTGAAGCATTCGAGTGCCTGAAATGCCCGAAATTCGCTTGAATTCACATTCGGAACGAAACAAATTGCACATGTCTAGGGGACTTTGAGATCTGCCATTTCTTAATATATCTCAATGTATCCCTGTGTTTTTACGGTATATTTTTTATTGACAACAGATGGTTTTATATAATAAAATTTATAGTAACAATATTTTTTAGATATTAATAATGTTGCTTGTTTGTCAAGATTAGTCTATACATATGATATTTTATAGGATTCTCTATTGATATATTTGCATCTGTCTATATTGAAAATTCTACCCTATATGTGTAATTGAGCATTCAATACTTAGGGTTAGTAGTTAATCCCCATTTGCAATAGAGTATTTTATATTTAGGTTTAGTAGATAATCCCCATTGAGAATAATTTGTATTTCAATAGTAACTATGTGTCTAACTTAATAATAAGGACTTCAGGTATATATATGCACTGATTAATTGATATTTAAATAAATGGCATATAGATGCATTGAGTAACAATATGTGATGTTTAGTGAATATTCCTTTTATAAGTGATTATTTTTATGTCACGCACATTGTGAATTGAAAGGAGCTTTTCCTATCAATGCATTTGAAACAATAAGAGGAGGACTTATGCATAGTTTGTTTTATTTTATTTTTATCTATATAAGAGGAAAGGTGCAATGTGAAAATTTTTCCCTCAATGACCCTCCCGGGAAGGGAGGTGAATTACGAACATTTTTCCCGCCCCCCCATCCAATAGGAGAAAAAGAGGGGAGGCGCCAGACCTTTAAAAGGAGGAGATCATGATGTTGTCGGAAGAAGCCAGAGAAGGCGGGCGAAATGCGTCATGGAGGACTTCATAGAGAGGCGGACCCACAAGGCTCACGTGATTGGATATCGGCGAAACCCATAAGGAACTGTATACCGGTGGCATTCTAAAATGTATCTAACTTGTGTTATTGTGGGTAGTTTGCTGGCATTCCCACCACTACTTAAGTAAGAGTTTTTAATCTGATATACCAATACAGTCATTGTGATATTATTCAGTTGGAGATCCCTGCCTCTCCTTTTATCTCCTACTTGTATAGAGGATTTGTACACACTCCATTATACCCATTATCTGGAAGCGTCTATTTGAATACCACGCTGTGGGAAAAATTCCTCTCCATTGAAACACTTCAAACCCAGACAGAGCCAGGTGTGATGCTCAGCATTAACCCTTCTGTGGATTAGGTTGCTGCTCGGCACAACTTTTCCTGTGTGGACAGTAAATGTCATTAACCACATTTTTATATGCGGATGACTACATGACAATTATGCATTATTAGGCCAATACTTATACTATTTTTATATATTCCCATAATTTTTTGGGAATCTGCATTCCTAAAAATTACATCAGGTTCTTCACAAATATCTAAAATAACAGATAATGAACAATTATCACTGTCATTTTTTTTATTTGTTTGAATAACATAAAATGACATGTGTCAATGTGCTATTTCTGATTTGCTGGTCATTAATATTTTGTCTAAAATATTGTAATGTAAGATGAATGATACTAAATAATCCCTGAAACATGTTATCCTCTTTGCTCTTTTTTTTAATGGATAAACAAATGAATGAAAAAAACTGTGTATAAATTAAAATAATTATATTTTTAGACATCACTGATCAGTGTTCGGTGTAGAAGATGATGTTTGGTTCTAAATCATGTGCTACCTATTCATCCTAGATTTCAAATACATGTTACACAAGATTTCAATAATCAGTAGTGCTGAGTTGATTTTTATTTGTTTTTATTATATATAATTGATACTCCTTTTTCTGAAGAAGCTATACATCATAACACGAGTTTACCCATGTAGACTGGAAGAAATGAGATTTAGTCTAAAGCAAAGGACAGGGATTTTTACAGTAAGAATAATAATGATGTTGAATTTTCTGCATGAAAAGGTGGTATTATCAGAGTCTGTACATATGTTTAAACAGTGACTGCATGAATACTTGCAAAATCACTGTCAAATAGTTTTTTGGCCTTCTTTTGTATCAACAGGAAAAAACAGATGTGAGAAGGGCTGAACTTGATGGATGCATGTCTCTTTTCAGCATATTTAACTATATAAAGTGTTTTTAGCTTTCTTTCAATGAGTTGTATAAATAAATGGAGAGAGTAACATAATGCTAATCAAGTGAAAGAGCAATGCTGATAGGTAGGTGATCTTCAAAAAAATGTAATTCAATGCAGTTTTAAAAAAATATAAAAAACATATTTATCAGTTGCTATACTGACATGCCTGTTTCCACAACACGCTATGTCAAATTGTTACCATGTCAAAGAATGTTCCCATCATTAAATGAAATGTGAGATCATGTTGGCTTCCTGTTCTCTAGTGATGGATTATTAGACAAGGAGCAGTAAGAAAGCATGCGATGGGTTCATCAGAGAATTTGATATATACAAGGAAATAAAAATTAAAGAAATTTGACAAAGTAAACAAAAGGGAATTAGAAGATCTATCATCATTCAGAGTCCGCCTAACATGTGCTGACTGCCAAAATTCTTCTTTTTTCTTCTTTTTTGACAGCTTCTTTCATCTGTGAAGAAGTAAGCACACTGTTTGATTATGGAAGACCTTTGGTTTTGAAAAGTATACACTCGCCTACTGTATATTGAGCTAAATATTGACCTCACATATTCTTTGCAGTTGCTATAAATGTGTATGATGTCATATATTTATTTTCTTCATATGTCTAAGAAGGCAACATGAAACCCAAGGCAAATCCTGATTGCTGTAGTTATTAAATAATGCAGATATTGCCTCCTAACATTGGTTTAAAGTGCACCAAGTGTTATCATAATGATTAAATAAAATAAAACGCAGCCAGTGTATGAGACAGTTACAGCAGTGTGATGACATCACAGGACATGGCCCATTCATGTGTGATGTCACTGAGTATTTAGCTAATTAAATTAAATAAAACTTAGCCAGCCTATGAGCCAGTTACAGCAGCACGGTGACACAGGACATGGCCCATATGCATGTGAAGCCACTGAATATTTAGCCGATTAAATAAAATAAAACTTAGCCAGTCTATGAGCCAGTTAAAGCAGCACAATACCATCACGGGACATGGTCTGTATATGTGTGATGTCACTGAGTATTTAGCTAATTAAATAAAATGTAACTTAGCCAGTCTATGAGCCAGTTAAAGCAGCACAATACCATCACGGGACATGGTCTGTATATGTGTGATGTCACTGTGTATTTCACTAATTAAATATAATAAAACTTAGCTAGTCTATGAGCCAGTAACAGCAGCACAATGACATCACAGGGCTTGGCCCGTGTGTGTGTGATGTCACTGAGTATTTAGCCAGCTTCCTTTATACACTACTGTAAGGACCTAAGAGCTTATTGAAGATGATGTCTTATATAAAGGAGTGGGAAATTTGATAAGGTACCAGATTACACTGTAAAAGTGACAGACAGATGGGAATATAAACAAGCTTACTCAAACTCCATTGTTCTCACCAATTTTTTTTTAATAAAAAACCCACAACCTTTCCAAAAAAGCTGTTGTAATGTTGCGCTCAATATTCTCTGTAATGTCTCTCTGCAATTTCAGGAACATCTCCTATATATAAAATACAGTTGCAAGAAAAAGTATGTGAACCCTTTGGAATGATATGGATTTCTGCACAAATTGGTCATAAAATGTGATCTGATCATCATCTAAGTCACAACAATAGACAATCACAGTCTGCTTAAACTAATAACACACAAAGAATGAAATGCTGCCATGTTTTTATTGAACACACCATGTAAACATTCACAGTGCAGGTGTAAAAATTATGTGAACCCCTAGACTAATGACATCTCCAAGAGCTAATTGGAGTGAGATGTCTGCCAACTGGAGTCCAATCAATGAGATGAGATTGGAGGTGTTGGCTACAGCTGCCCTGCCCTATAAAAAACACACAGTTCTGGGTTTGCTTTTCACAAGAAGCATTGCCTGATGTGAATGATGCCTCGCACAAAAGAGCTCTCAGAAGACCTACGATTAAGAATTGTTGACTTGCATAAAGCTGGAAAGGGTTATAAAAGTATCTCCAAAAGCCTTGCTGTTCATCAGTCCACGGTAAGACAAATTGTCTATAAATGGAGAAAGTTCAGCACTGCTGCTACTCTCCCTAGGAGTGGCCGTCCTGTAAAGATGACTGCAAGAGCACAGCGCAGACTGCTCAATGAGGTGAAGAAGAATCCAAGAGTGTCAGCTAAAGACTTACAAAAATCACTGGCAAATGCTAACATCCCTGTTAGTGAATCTACAATACATAAAACACTAAACAAGAATGGATTTCATGGGAGGATACCACAGAGGAAGCCACTGCTGTCCAAACAAAACATTGCTGCACGTTTACAGTTTGCACAAGAGCACCTGGATGTTCCACAGCAGTACTGGCAAAATATTCTGTGGACAGATGAAACCAAAGTTGAGTTGTTTGGAAGAAACACACAATACTATGTGTGGTGAAAAAAGGCACAGCACACCAACATCAAAACCTCATCCCAACTGTGAAGTATGGTGGTGGGGGCATCATGGTTTGGGGCTGCTTTGCTGCGTCAGGGCCTGGACGGATTGCTATCATCGAAGGAAAAATGAATTCCCAAGTTTAACAAGACATTTTGCAGGAGAACTTAAGGCCATCTGTCTACCAGCTGAAGCTCAACAGAAGATGGGTGTTGCATCAGGACAATGACCCAAAGCATAGAAGTAAATCAACAACAGAATGGCTTAAACAGAAGAAAATACGCCTTCTGAAGTGGCCTAGTCAGAGTCCTGACCTCAACCCGATTGAGATGCTGTGGCATGACCTCAATGACCTGTGGCATGATTCACACAAGACATCCGAAGAATATTGCTGAACTGAAACAGTTCTGTAAAGAGGAATGGTCAAGAATTACTCCTGACCGTTGTGCACGTCTGATCTGCAACTACAGGAAACGTTTGGTTGAAGTTATTGCTGCCAAAGGAGGTTCAACCAGTTATTAAATCCAAGGGTTCACATACTTTTTCCACCTGCACTGTGAATGTTTACATGGTGTGTTCAATAAAAACATGGCAACATTTCATTCTTTGTGTGTTATTAGTTTAAGCAGACTGTGATTGTCTATTGTTGTGACTTAGATGATGATCAGATCACATTTTATGACCAATTTGTGCAGAAATCCATATCATTCCAAAGGGTTCACATACTTTTTCTTGCAACTGTATATATACTATGTCTCCTATATCTCTTATATATAAAATATATATACTATATCACTTCTGGGTAATTACCAGGAAAACCAATGAACAAAAATATTTGTAAGTAAAAAAATAATAATTTTTAAAAAATAAATGGGAGTGGTATAACAAGTCTTGGATGCACACATACAAAACATATCACTGTGATTTAGTTTGTTGTGAAACTGTGGTACTCACATACACACATGTATGCACATGCTACAAATTATTGTGAGTTTTCTTGTCATGGAACGAAACAATTATTGCATGAATGATACAGTGATACAGACTGCATGCTAGTTTGATTCAGACCTGTGTGGGGCTATAGGACACACACATTGAATATTCTGAATGCCTAGGGAAGAGAGACAGAGAGATTTCTGCTAAAACGATACGTAGATAGTATGATGCATAATTGTTAAAGTGTCACTGTGGGCTGGGAACTTAGTAACAAGACTCTATCAGTAGAACAAACATTTCTGCAAGTTGTAATTCAGCTATAAACATTTTACTTCTAGAAATTGTTAGCTGAACTACAATTCCCAGAAATCTTTGCTCGGCATCCTGTTAAGATGTAAACCTGTTTTAGTGGAGAAACACTGCAGACTGGTAGGGACAGAACGACGCCGTGACATCACACATGCAGTTATCTAAAATATGAAAGCATATCTAAAAATATTAATTCATAGTTACATAGTAATCTAATCTTGACTAAAGGCCACAAAGTTCTACCTTGACATCCATTCTTTGATCCAAAAGAAGGCAAAAACTCAATTTGTAGCTATTTCCAATTATGTCTCAAAACAGGAAAAAAATCTGTCTTCATGCCATAATGGCAATCAGATCAACAACCTTTTCTCATGCACATCTATATCAAGGCGGACGCAGCCTGTAATAGCCTATTGATGCTGATCCTGGGCATTTAGCTATCAGTTGCTTTTCATGATCGACCACATTGTACAAGTTATATGTGTCCTGCAAAACACAAGTCTTTCTTCTATAAACAACAAGTTGCGATGAATGTGACAGTGAATTGCAAGACAACATAGCTGAGCTGGCAGAATTTTTGAAAAGTAGCTGTTAATGATCTAGAGAGAAATAAGAGCAGATACTTAATGACTAATCTGTTAGAGGTGTGTATCATACTGGCTAGAACTTTTCTATATCACTTCCTTTAACTTTTCTTGTAAGATTTTTGCATGTTAATCTTATCTTTATTAACTATGCAATGCATAGTTCGCTAATTTATTTTGTTTAGTTCAAAGAGCCTTATCTAGAACAGATGATAAAACGATTGAAAGTAGATTCCAAGAGAACAGAACAACTTTATATAGGTTATAGTGTATTACAAAACACAGCACAGTTAGTTAAATAACGCAGTATTTTTAGACTAATTATCATTAGTTTATGTATGTGAAAGGCAAAAATATTAAAAAAAGTATTGAGTGCTGAATTAAATGCATGTATTTTTTTATTTTTTTATTATTTTTTTGTTTATTATAAATGGAACCAAAACCAGACATATGCACGATAATACGTATTAATTGATTTATCGCATGTGCTAATTAAATGCCCAGAGTGTGAATCTTCATTTTAAAAACATTTTCATTTAGCAATTAGGATGCACAATTTCTGTTCGAGATCCTGATTGGTTTTCCAAGTTTAGGAACACTGGCTATTAGCCAACCATCAACTAGAGAGCTGGTAAGATTTATTGAAGGTTTGTCATTTTAAGGTAACTCAAGGCGGTAAAATGGTGAAGTAAAAACACAGCGGAATTACAGAATGCCAATGTTTAAACTGATAGCGGGAAGGCTCAGAGTAAAGTTAGGCTTAGAACCAGGGCTGGAAGGGGACAAAAATTTGGGCCGAGCATTTTAAGGCAGAGCATCCCAATAGGATTGTACCATCATTTGGATGCACACAACCCAAAATGGGCATGTCAGTTCGACCTTGTGTCTGGTTTTCCCATAAGTGAGAAACCAGAGGACAAAGAAGGACATAGTTTAAAAAAAGGAGTGTGTTAGTGTGCATGTGGGACTGCACATGATAGTATATGCATTTGGAGGTTGCTTGTGTTATTTATGTTGGGTACTGTACTCGGCTGTGTTGTGTGTGTGGGTGGTGTGGGATACGGGGGTTATACCGTATGGCTGAATGGAATAACATTTTTTTTAAAGAAAAATTATCAATGTAGTTTATTCCCCCCTCCCTTAGGTTTATCCTGGGCCAGGAAGGAGGGAATTATTTTTTTTAATGATTATTATTATTGTGTATTTATTCATTATACATTTTACTATATTTAGCCTGCATTGAAAGCATAACTAACTTCACTTTAACTAATGTGGTCTAAAATTTGAAATGTACAACAATCAATTAAACTTTTCTGCAAAAATATGCTGTAATTACAACATACACATATATGGCTAAATAAATCATTGGAAATTTACATTAAATAGTGAATTACAGTGAATTTAAAATTGAATTGCAAAATTCAGGCTAAAACATCCAAGCAGCGCTTTTTCTAAATCTTCACCTTATCCAACATTTTTCAAAATCAATTTTAAATTTGCTGCAATTCACTGTTTAGGGAATAAACCATTCTGTTTTATTTCAGCAAGTTTACTGGAATATGTGATACATCCACAAGGCGAGGTTAGTACAATGTTATAGTATACATTCAAGAATTTACTCCCACCTTCTGTGTGATGCGTGCACATGTTTAAGTGATTACTAAATAGAAAGCGAAAAGGCTCACAATAAACGCCTAATGCCCTTTCCTAAAGAAATTGATTCATCCCTCATAAATAAAATAAAATACACTGCTGGTCATTAATTAAATAATGTATTACATGCTTTGGAATTTTCACATACATGATCTATTATATATGACAGTCCCTTGTGAACCCTCAGGTCCAGCTACAGTAAGGTTTTACATTAAGCAAAGCTTGCAAGGTATCGATTGATTGGTCTTTCAATTTCCTTGGCCAAAAAATGGATCTGCCACTGGTTTTATTTTACACTCTCCACTGATACCTCTTGGCGCACGCTGAAATATTAGAGAAATGAGACTTAATAGAGAGCAATGTCATTGTCCTTCAAGGAATAAGTAAATCATTGACACGTATACATAATCTGATATTGTTACTGGAAAATACAAATCTAAACAAAATTTGCCTTCATCCATTGAGTCTATAACTCATTAACATTAAAGGACAATTGCCGGCACTAACAAAAGTGTTATGCAATTTAAATTTTTCAACTGTATCTTTACATTTACCAATTCGGTAAAAAACAAAACAAAAAATATAAAAAACATTTTATTTGCAACATTCATCATCTTAAACCTTCCTCCTCGGTTCCACATTACTAATTATTTTTATTTTATTTTTTTTGCATTCTTTATTTTTGGAATGCAGTGCCAAACACAAGCATTGACAATGAGAAATAACATGAGGTATGATAGCATGACATAAGTAGGAATAGTCAAGATATTCTGCACTGTTTTTTTGATTTTTTTTGTAAAGGACAAAGCTAGATAAAACAGGATAAGTCTCCCCCTATCGGCAAAAAGATGAGAGATCCGAAGAGATGTCTGGACAAGATAAATACATGAAGGAAAGAAAATGCACCCATATAGGCTGCCTAAAGTATAATAGGGAGCTTCTCCCCATTGGTTACATTGGGTTTTTACCAACAGCTCTGGCTCAGAGCCTCTGTTCAGCCAATGCCCACCGAGGGCAGATCACAGTCCTGCAATAGGGAGGTAGACTGTAGGTCCTGGAGCCAAGATAAATGCTTTTGGGTCTAATCTCTCGGCATAATTGGGATTCCTCGCAGTACCTCTGACATCTGTTGCAATCCAGCAGTGATCTGCATGTGTCTACGCTTCTGTGCTGCCTTGAGCCTTGGATGAGGTGCATAGCATGCTCTGCCATCATGATATGGTCTTCGCTGCCGGCAAAGCTGGGAGCAATGGATGGGGACTTAAAATTAGTAATTGCTAGATTGCAGCGGGGAAGATTGGAGACCAATGGCAGATCCAGAGAGGAAGGCAATGTGGCAATAGCCCCCTCTCCCCCCCTAAGAAAATAGTAATGCGCTGAGGCTCTCCCTTGCTCTCTCCGCTATCCAGTTGTGTGCCCTGCTGTGTGCGTTTATGGTCTGGAAGGAAGATCAGAACTCTAGCCTTAGGAGCTGCTGGCTAGAGTTCACTCTCACAGGGGCCACCAGGGAAGTAATATCCCACATCCCTGGGCAAAGGTAAGAAAAGAGGTTGGATACAAAGTATATTTATTTTAATTAAAAAAAAAAAACTATAGATTTGCTTTATTCTACACACACAGAAACACACACACACACACACACAATAAACTCCTACACATTCGCACACACT